AGTTGAGAAAAACAAAGTGTAGCGTCTCTTTGGTGAGCCAACTGAATTTTTCTAGAATAGGTGAGATTAATTGTACCAGACTAACTCTCCTATCCAGTTCTCAAAAAACCTTGACATCTATTTGATGAATGTTATGGCTTCTACCGTAAAGTTGACGTATTTTAGTATAAAAAGTGAAGAGATAGTAAAGTGTAATGGAGGGTGGGAGCCAGGCTCCTCACTGTTAGAGTGGGAAGTTACAAGCAAGCAAAGGGAGGAGGCTAGAGTAATCACAGGTAATTGATTAGAGTGGGAGACATCAATGTGAACTCATATTTAGCTTAATATGTAAGTAGTACATGAGTATTTATAGATACATGCATACATGGGTTATATAGATATATGTATACATGTATTTCTCTGATTTGTCAACTGAGCTAGAAGTAGGAAATGACACCCAAAAGTAGTAGATAGTAGCAAGTAAAGTTAGGACTCAGATTCTGGTTTTTATTATTATTTTTATTTATTTATTTATTTTGAGATGGAGTTTCTCTCTTGTTACCCAGGCTGGAGTGCAATGGCGCGATCTCAGCTCACCACAACCTCTGCCTCCTGGGTTCAAGCAATTCTCCTTCCTCAGCCTCCTGAGTAGCTGGGATTACAGGCACACGCCACTGTGCCCAGCTAATTTTTGTATTTTTAGTAGAGACGGGGTTTCACCTTGTTGACCAGGATGGTCTTGATCTCTTGACCTCGTGATCCACCCACCTCGGCCTCCCAAAGTGCTGGGATTATAGGCATGAGCCACCGCACCCGGCCTCAGATCCTGGTTTTTTACCACTCTCTGATAGAAGGAATCAGGGCTCCTCGGAGCAATGGATGATTCTAGGGATGGAGGAGAGACATCTTGTAGTGCTGGTAACAAGGAAGTGCTCAGAAAAGCCCACACCGATGGGGCTATGCCGAGGGATACAGGAACCCACAGAAAACTCCCAACGGACAAAGGCAGAACAAGCTGGGCAACAAAATGAACAAAGACATATTGAATTATAATCCGATATGTAAAATAAATACCCATGAGGCTACACTGACATAAACAAATGGAGAAGAGTAGCCAAATCTCCAGTGCAGAAGAATCGCAAATAATTTATGCAGATACTACGAAGGTTAATTATGTGCTAACTTGGAGGGTGTTTTCAGATGAGATTAGCATTTAAATGGGTGGACTTAGTAAAGCAGATTGTCCTTCATTATATGGTTGGGTCTCATCAAATCAGTTGAACCATGAATCAAACCAAAAGCCTCCCTGCCCTCCCAAAGCAGGAAGGAATTCTTCAACAGATTGCCTTTGGACTCCGTCTATATCCTTGGCTTACCTGAGTCTTGAGCCTGATGACCCAATTACAGAATTTTGACTTACTGGCCTCCAGAACTGCATAAGCCAATTCCGTACAATAAACCCTTCTCTCTACATAGATACACACACACGTCCTATTGGTTCTGACTTTCTATAGGTCCCTGAGTAGTACAGATACTGCACTCAAGAAAAGTGAGCATGATTCACATTCCTTACGTGAGGGCTGCATATAGTGACTTCCTTCCCAAGAGTACAGTGTGGAAAATGGAAGGAGAAGAGTAACTTTACAGTGGAGAAACCTGGCAAACGACCTCAGCCAGGTGACCAGGGTCAACATCAACAATGACCAGTCACATTGATGGTATGTATCCTTGATATGATGAGCATGGCACTGGACCTCTGATTTTTCTCCCTTACCCCATAATCCCAGTCTAATAAGAAAAACATTAGACAAATCCAAACTGATGAATAGTCTACAAAATACTGACCAACACTCTTCAGAAGTGTCAAGGTCATCAAAACCAAGGAAAATCAGAGACTTTCACAGCCAAGAGGAGTCGAAGGAAACAGGACAACTAAATGCGATATCTTATCCTGGCTAGGATCCTGGGAGAGAAAAGGAGCACTAGGCACCAAGTAAGAATCTAAATAAAATATGGACCCTGGTTACTGACAGCATAGTTACACTGGTTCATTAACTGTGACAAATGTACCATACCAATGTAAGGTGTGACGAACAGAGAAAACGGTGTGGGGTATTCAGGATCTCTCTGTACCAGTTCTTTAATTTTTCTGTAAATCTAAATCTCCAAAATTAAAAGTTTGTTTAAAAAAAAAAGAAGGAGGAGGAGGAGGAAGAGATGGAAAAAAAATGACTAGGGATGCATCTTTTAGAGTTACACTTCTCACAGCAAAGAGAATTGCAAGTTATCCCACTACCAAGAAGCTTGCAGGGTTAGCAAACAATGATAAGTATTGTACCTGGGAAAATGATCAATGAATCTTTGCAATTCTAGTCAGAGCATGCTATTGGACACCACATCATACCAATGACATAGGATATATTACAACAGATATTATCTTTAAAAATTATCCAAACTGTAGAAGTCAAGCAAAAGAAGACGGCTTGTCCTTTTAATATCATACATCAGAGCGGTGTATATCAGGCCCACCAAGCTTTATTTTAATGTGTAAAATATGGACGCTTTTTGATTTACTGTTTTCTATTAATTAAAGCTAAGACTCTGAAGTCACAAGTTAACTTGTAGATTTTTGTCTCATGAGGATGCAGAACATTAGCTAGTTGTATCTCTGACTTAGCAAATTTATTCTGGTATTCCTTTCCTAATAGACTGTGTAATCCTTTTCTTCTCTAATTTTTCTTTCAGTCATTCTGTGCACACTGCTGGTTTCCTCATCAATAAATTAATGTCTCATTGACACACACATGCTTCATATCTGTATGAGTGTAATGTTTTTAGCTTTTTTTGAAAATTATGCTCTGACTTTATCTTGCATGTTCAAGCAGCTATATTGTGTTACAATTAGGTGACAGAGATCACAATTAGGTGACAACATGCATTTGATCATGCATGTTGCAGTCCATACATGAGAAGAAGCCCTTGGTGGCTTCTGTTTATCAAAGCAGCTCTTTAATCAAAGTTTTAAAGCTAAAAACTGAAACTAAGACCTAAAAACTAAAGTTTCTTTAAACTAGAAAACCTGGATATGTCATGAAGATTGCCGCTGCTACTCAAATACAACGACTTGTACCTGAATGCCAATCTATACATTGCCTTTCTCTTAAAAAGCAGTAACTTGCCAAATATAGAGCTCCTGACCTTGATTCAGTGTTCACAAAAATTGTACAAATTTTAAATATAATCAAATCATGCCTACAGAGAATATGTATTTTTAGCAAATTGCACCAAGAAATTGGCAACAAGGACAAGATTCTGCTTTTCCCTGTTGAACCATCTTGGCTGCCAAAAGAAAGGGTTTTTGAAACAAAGAAAGAGCTTTAAAAAGTTTTTATGACACCCGTGATACCAGTGTGACAAATGTGCACAGGACTTTTTCTGTCCTCTGACAATTTTAGAATGAAGGCCCTGAGCTGAAAACAGAAAGTGTGAAGTGTTATCAGATTCCAAAAAGAGCTACCCAGGAGATGCGAAGCGATGGAAGGATTTGCCTGGATTCCATCAGCTCACCACGGCCCTTGGTATATGTAAGAACAGGAGCCAGAAAGAGAAGGGACCCTTCTGAATCAGAGCCGAGGGCTATGGTTTTTGACCCTTCACCACTGCCCAGTCTAAGAGTCACTTTCAGGGTTGGGCCCTCCGCCGTGCCTGTGCAAGTGCAGGTGGTGGAGACCTCAATCTTTGGCTAGACAGCCGCATAGGCAGTGAACTTCTGTCTGCCCTGTGTATCTGTCTAAACAAGGGAAAAGAGAAGAAAGAGACAAGAGGGTCGATGCAGGAAAGGCAGGAGCTGCCTGGGAGCCTCTGCTCTCCGCATCTCATGTGGCAGGGTGAGCAGGCCAAGTGCACACCATGGGAGGGTGCCAGGCCTGGTACCTTACTAAAGAAAACTGCGGGCTGACCAGGGAATGCAAGGAGGAGGGCATCCCTCTGGGGGCAGGAGCTGGGGAGAGGCTTACCGAGGGGTGAAGCTGGAGTGACTCTGCCAAGTAAGAATAATGTGCGTGGGGAAGCTGCCTACAGAGTCTCCTAACGAACACACCCATGACTCCAAAATAGCCAGCCTCCTATATAGAGCGCATCTGCCGAGAGAGAATGATAGTTACACCAGTTAAACAAAACACCTTTCCTTCTCTTCTGTAATTCCTTCTCCCCTGTCCAAAGGTAGAAGCAAAAAGGAGAGGGGAATGGGGGCATGATGAGAGAGCATGGATGACACTCAAGTCTTGCCTGCTGCCTGGCTGGTTCTGGGGAGCAGGGAAGAGGGGATACGAGATTGGGAGAGTGACTGAAGTTTCAAATGAACCGGACCAGAGTGTGCTTTTAAATATCGCTTGAGTAACTGAAAGTAACTGAAAAGCTATGGGATTCGCCTAAAGCATCTTTCTTTAAGTGACGAAAAGACAGACGCAGCTAATCAAGCTTGAAAGCAAAGATAAGAGAAAAACAGAAACCATTTTGCGTTGTGCCTTCTTTCATTTAGATGGTTCAATAAATTGAGTTGCAGCCATTGTAGTGTATTTCAGAAAATAGTCTATATCGTAAGTAGTTTGAATTTATCACTTAAGGATCATCAATTTTAATGTTAAGAATGTGACATTAGGATTAAGTTTCAGTTATGGGACAAACAGCTTGATCTTCAAGAGCTTAATTTTCTCCAAGCAGTCATGTACTTTTTATTGAAGAGAGAATCTTATATTGGCTATGTTTTAAAGCCACGTCGATAGGCTATAACAAGAATTTCTATGAAGAAATTCTTTTTAGATTCAAGTTAACTAGAGACCATTTGCCTCTCATCATAACAATCTACTAAACATTTATATAGCACTGACTGTGTGCCAAGTACTATCCAAGGTGCTTTGCTCATATTAACTCGGTATGCATAAAAAACGAAAATCCTCTGATGCTGCTATATGTGAAGGTTCTTTACAAACTATAAAATGCAGCATAATTATCAGAGGATATTACTGATGTTATATGAATAATAATTACTAAGATAACAAGAATGTTTCCTTGCCTCAGAAGTCAATTCGTGTTGATGAGAACTGCAGCATAATTATCAGAGGATATTACTGAGGTTATATGAATAATAATTACTAAGATAACAAGAATGTTTCCTTGTCTCAGAAGTCAATTCGTGTTGACGAGAACTTAAGAAAAAACGTCCAGTGCAGCACATTCTTTAATCACAATATACCTCGTTCCATCTCCAATAGGCAGCACAATGGAGACCATGGACCCCTCTGCCATTCCACTTATCTTTGGAGATTTTAGCCCCCACCACCACTTCCCATGTGTGTAGGAATTTTTACTTGTGTATCTAGGATGGAATTCTCCATAATAAACCTGAATTATGAATGTGCTTGTATAATATCCCCGACTGGATTGTAAAGCATGAACATAATTCTCCTTGGGAGAGATCAGCTCTTGTTCAGCATCCAACACATTGAAGACCTGTGGGTTGAATCGTTTAGAATTGCACTGGTGTGACCAGGCACAGTGGCTCACTCCTGTAATCCCAGCACTTTGGGAGGCTGAGGTGGGTGGATCACAAGGTCAAGAAATCAAGACCATTCTGGCTAACATGGTGAAACCCTGTCTCTATTAAAAATACAAAAACTTAGCGGGGCACGGTGGCGTGTGCCTGTAGTCCCAGAGACTCGGGAGGCTGAGGCAGGAGAAAGAAAAGGAACTGCACTGGTGTGATTTCCAGTGGCAAATCTGAACTCTCACCATTTGTCTTCAGAAGCAAAGCCATCTGCCTACGTGTGGCCTGAATTCATGCATTGTAACAACACGCCCATGGAGAGTGTGGTCAAGGAAGCACTTAACCCTTTCCAGAAGTACTCACTATCCAGGCCTTGTCATTTTCACTGGGGCTAGAGCCTACTCCTACCATCCAGATGAGAAGACCTCATAATTCATAGGGTACTGGGTAAAGTACTCACCAGGATCTGGTCCCACCTAATAAATCTTCATGTTTGTTGAGTATTGCACTTCAGGCTCTGTGGTTAAGCATTTTTATTACTACGCCAGTTAATTCGCACAATAACCCCATGGGGTACAGACTATTAAACCCATCTTGGAATGAAGTAAACAAAGAATTTATGTAACGTGTTTGAGGTCACACTGCTTGTAAGTGGTGGAGCTGGTATCTGAACGAAGGCAAACTGTCTTCAGAACTCACGCCCTTACATAAAAAGGCTCTACAGTATTTTCCTGCTCTCCTCCTATACACTTGAACTTGGGCTAATGCAATTTAGGCTTCAAGTCTACCCAGTGTAAGTGAAGTAAAGCAATGAACAGTTGCCTAATGAGCCCTTAAAATGCAGACCACCCATCTACATAGCTCTTTCTTGTCCAGCCCCTTAAACAAATGACAGCTACTGCTGTTTGATTTGACATTCGGAAGGACATGTTGTCAAAAGTACCGAAATCACTTTTTCAGCTCGGTGCTTCATTTTCCCTTTATGGATGCAGACTAAGGATCTTAAATTTTGAGTTACCCACTAGAGCCTCTTTGCCAAACATCTGGACCTGTTTGCAGAATTAAATTATTGGCTGTCAATCTGGGATCAAACCTCCAGATGGCACCAGAGAACTGAGAAAAACAATTCCATTTCCAAGGCGCCTTTGTGTTGCTGACGAGAGACCAGCAGGCTGAGGGGAAACGCCCTGTTTGTTACAAAGTTACATCTGCGAGCTCCTTCAAGAAAGGGAGGTGCCTGACTCTCCTTGTTAATGCCGGTTGCTGTTACAGACTTGCAATTGTGCAACTCTGATGTAAACAGGCAAGCTTTGTATTTTTGCAGTGACCCTGGAGAGTGAGAGGGTGGTTCTCTTGGCTGTCTCTGGAACACATTTGGGTAAGTGCTCAAAGATGTGTTACTACAGAATGTGCTTGTGAGCTCCTGTTGCAGTGCAGTCAGATAAGCAAAGGTATCTGCTGGAACATAAAAAAACGACACAATTTTAGACTTTGTGGTTCATTGTCTTTTGAGAGAGCGAGTCCTGCTATTGTCTCTCATAAAGCTGCAGAAAAAGACCGTATTGAAAACTGACGATAGCAGTCGATTATTTGCGAAAAGCCTGAGAGATGATTCAGTAAATACCAGGTGAATTTTATTGCATCTTCAGGCAACCAGAGACTTGCATACACTTTTTACCCCTAAACGGATGAACGAATGGCGTGGCCCTGCTGGCAGGGAGCTGGCAGGGCAAAGTTCTAACCAGCAACTGCCGCTCGCCTTCCTTTCTTCCATCAGCTTCTAGCCTACCTTTCAGACACAGGTTCTATGAAAGGAAACCTAAAGGGAACCTTCCTCCTTGGCTCTGCCCAATCTACCACACATACTACACTGCAGTAAAGCCTGGGGCGTATCCCAGCACCGCGAGAGCAGCATCAACACCTTTAATCCTACAACTCAGGGGCTACTTCTGTAACATTATGACATTCACTGAGGCCAGAGCACATGGTGCAAGCGGAAACCCGACATGCGCTTTTCCCGGCTTACCGCGGGACTTTTTTTTTTTTTTTTGAGACGGAGTTTCTCCCTTGTTACCCAGGCTGGAGTGCAATGGCGCGATCTCAGCCCACCGCAACCTCCGCCTCCCGGATTCAGGCAATTCTCCTGCCTCAGCCTCCTGAGTAGCTGGGATCACAGGCACGCGCCACCGTGCCCAGCTAATTTTTTGCATCTTTAGTAGAGGCTTTCTGTCTCATCTCTCAGCCCTTTGTCACCTCATTGGAGAGAGAGATCTCGCCTGACCATCCTATCTAAAATTATTTTCAGTCACTCACTCTCTCATCCCTCTGCACATATCAAAATAAAATAGTCTCATTTTATGCTTGTCTGCCTTCCCTCCCTGCAGTTATGTTGAAGCCAGCAGGAACTCCCTCTCTGTGGCTCCCACGGTATCCTCACCTTTTAGAAGAGCGTATGGCACGTTGTAGAAGGTTCAATAGAGATGGAATAAACGAATGAATGATGACAATAGGCTGATGCATTTCTCTGTTTTCTTCTGGTTATGAAATTTGATTAAAAAATAGGATTTGGGAACAAAGCCATTACCAGAGAACATTATATTAACACAAATAAGTGGATTATGTTTTAGGAAAAGACCGTGTACAACAGGGGATTAGAGATAACCTCAAAGAATATCTCTTCCACGGTAATAAAACGGAACATTTTAAAAGGAATGATGAAAAGGAGAACCCAAAGGCACAGGATCCCGCTGATAAACAATTGCACATAGGGTGTACTATTTCTATGAGAATAAGTATATCCTGGCTCAAAAAGAGCAGAATCAAATTGGTACAATCTCAGGTTTATTCTGCTAGTTAATCTACATGGGACAGCCACCAACCCACCAGTCCAGGAGAGAGAAAAACGCCTTGGAGTCTTTCTATATTTACAGGCATGTATACTGCAAATTGCATTATCTCTAACAGACTGCCAGATGAGCTGGAACAGATCATCTGTCAGCACATGCAGAAAGCTTTCTCAGACCTTCAGACTAGCTCAGGTTCCACTGTCATCTCCCTATATACTTCTTCATCAAATCCATTTCCATTATAATTAAGTGATAAATTGGGTGATTTGTTACCTAGCCTCCTTTACCTCCATTGTGATGTATCCTTCAAGACAGACTGTGAGTGTTCCTGTCCAATGCTACATTCCTAGCCCTTGGGGGAATGCCTGCTAAATCAAAATAATTAATTAAATATTTGTTGAATAAATAAATGGATAAATTGAGCACTTATTATGCACCAAGCACAGTACTACATACATTCTTACATACATTGCTTTTAAAATTTCATTTCACACAACCCTATCTGGTAGATACTAGTTTTATCCCCATTTTGCTGATGAAAAAACCGAGGTCTTTAAAAACATTAAGCAGTATAATTGAACAAGAATTGAACAGTAACATCTACAGCAAGTTGCCCATTTTAAATGATATTTTATTGGAGAGTGTGAATTACTGTGGAAAAAGGAAGTTTGGCAAAGAAACACCTAGAAGCCAATTTCCTCACTAGGGAGCATGGCTGCCTATCGAAGTTCAAAACTGTATTTAGGCCCTGTGTCCCCTTTTTGGTGTGCCAGACCAATTACGGATAATGCAGTTTACATTTTGCTCAAACACGAATGGCTGGTTTGTTGAACTTGGCACTATCTAGAAACAACTTTATCTTTCCCCGACCACCATCTTCACATGATGTAGCCATGTTGCCTTTCTCCATCATTGGATGGAATCTGGGGCAGATTTCCCAGCTTCTCATTCATTTTCAACCATAAGAGCAGCCTCATTTTAGGGTGTCAGAAAGTCGATTATAATTACTTTGTATTTTGTTAAATATAACAGTGGAATTGTGAGTATGTGAAAGAGATCTCCATATCTGTTAGAGATGCAGAGGAAATGTGTTTTGGTGAAATGAAAAAGTGTTTAAAGTTTGATTTTTAAATATTCCAGAAAAAATGAGAAGGGGAAAGAAACCACAACCAGTAAAAGATTGATAATAGTTGAAGTTAGATGATACACACTTGGGGAGTCATGTTACTCTTCTTTCTGCTTTTGTATATATTTGAAAATGTCAGCAGGGCAGAGTGCTCACACCTGTAATCCCAGCATGGTGGGAGGCCAATGACTTGAGGTTGGGAGTTCGAGACCAGCCTTGCGAACATGGCGAAACCCTGTCTCTACTAAAAATACAAAAAATTAGCTGGATGTGGTTGCAGGTGCCTGTAATCCCAGCTTCTTGGGAGGCTGAGGCAGGAGAATTGCTTGAACCCTAGGGACGGAGGTTGCAGTGAGCCGAGATATCGCCATTACACTCCAGCCTGAGCAACAGAGTGAGACTGAGAAAGAAAGGAAGATAGGAAGAAGAGAGATGAAAAAAGAAAGTGTCCACACTAAAATGTTTTGTAAAAATCCAGTCTGGTTTAAGTAGAAATTGGATGACATTCTCCAGTGCGAAACAAGTATCGCATCATCTTCCATCCCTCCATCTCTCCTCGGCTTATGCCAACCTCGGCCCCGTAACAAAAGCCACAGTGCAGAAAGCAGGCATGGTCAGACTTTCCCCTTTCCTGTGCTTGGCTCTTCTCTTCCTCTTGTTCCTCCTCCTCTTTTTCTTTTCCTTTCTCCTTTCTTCTACTAGCTCTGATATTTCCTTCTCTTCCAGGGCTGGGGAAATTGGGAGGGGAGGGAGGCAAAGGGGAAGGTACCTTTTTAATTGGCTGGTGCTATCTGTCATTCTCTCTGGATGGCCATGCTCTCTGGCATGGCAGGGGCCACATGCAGGTCCTTTGATGAAGCTCCTCAAAGGCCTCTTCACTGGCATCTTATCACCACCACCATGTTCGATTGTACCCTGACTGGTGAGGGGAACAACCTTCCTGGCTGCTATGGTCCGAAGGTTTGTGTCTCCCCAAATTTATATGTTGAAATTCTAAAATGACGGTGGGATGAAATGGGGCCTTTGGGAAGTAAGTGGGTCATGAGACTTGAGCTCTCATGAATGGATTTAGTGCCATTATAAAAGAGGCCCCGGAGAGTGACCTCGCTCCTTCCACTTGCGAGGACACAGTAAGAAGGCACCATCTAGGAGGAAGCGGGCCCTTTACAGACACCAAATATGACAGTACCTTGATCTTGGACTTGCCAGCCTCCAGAACTGAGAAATAGATGTTTGGTGTTTACAAGTCACCTGGTTAGTAGTATTTTTTGTTATAGTAACTCAAACAGACCAAGTCACTGGCTGCCTTCTCATGATCTTCCTCCCTACTCCTGCCCTAGGCACAGCCACAGTCTGCATCCCATTGAGTGAGGCTCCCTTGCTATGCAAGCCCTCAGGCAGAGCCTTTTAGGATTGCCATAGTTTTGATGCTTTCTGTGTTTTGCTTCTAGTCCATGGCTCTCAAGCACACCTGCTTTATGAAAAGGTGGGAGTTCAGCTTGTCTATCTAGTGCCTCTCTCCCTGACCTTCCAGCTAATCTCAGGAGAGAGAGATGCTTGTCTCCCTATTTTGCACCTGCTGCTCTTGGCTTTAGCTGTCATCAAAATTATCAGGCAATGAAAAGTCCTACTCAACATCCTTTTGTACCCTCCCAGCATGATTTTGAAGATTTAATGGGATAAAACCTATGATGCACTTACCATAGTGCCTTGCATATTATAACTTCTCTATAAATGTTGTTATAATTAACAAGTGAAAGGGGAGAAAATATCTTTCAGTAGAGAATTATAATATATTTGATAAAATTTAATATTCAATTTGATTAAAAATACTTTTTACACTTCTATGAGTATGGTGGTCTAGGTATTCTGGGGACTCTTGCCACTGCAAGCTGTATACCAGATATGAAGACACGGCACAGAGGCAGCACCGTAGGGCAAGGAATTAGAGACAATGAAAGAGACATGATATACAAAGACATGCAGGTAGAAGGAGAGGGTTTAACATCCAACTGGAATTTCAATGAAAGGATCAAAGGGACCAGGTCTCTTGGCTTAGCTACCCGGTGCTTCCCTGACTGGGCAACATATCCTGTCCATGGCTTATAATGTACAAAGGAGAGGCACCTCGACTCCATAATCCTCAGACACCACATGCCCACAACGGACCACCTTCAGCCAGGCCAGTGCTTACCCAGTGACAAACTCAGACGTTGTCAGTCGACCAGCGACACTCTGCAGCTTTGCTTTCCTTATTGATATGGAACAGGGACAGGCCACAGTCTTTCAGTCTTAGAAGGCCTGGTGCATTTCTCTGAAAGTCTATTTTGACTTCGTTGGACCACAGCTTTTTCTTTTTCTTTTTTTATTCAGTGCTCAATCTTTGTTTTCAATCATCTTCAGTTTTCCTTTAGCAAAGTAACTTGAGATTTCTACAGTGAAGAATGACATGAACTCCTAAATAAAAATCGTGTTCTTATCTTATCTTTCATAGTCGACAGGAGATGATAGAGTAAGAATACATGTGTGCAATTCATCTAAAAGCAGAAAAAAGGCAGATAGAAAAAATATCAAAATAGCACAAAATCATTTAAGATAAGTAAGGCCGAATAATGGATAACAAAAAAAGGAGTGTCTGAAGACATCTGTTAAAAGGCAGAAAGTGCTAGAAGATGAGGAGAGCAACTTTACCTACCTGCCAACTATGAGACACTAAAGACATAAGAACAGGAAAGTGACAGCAATGTCAAAAGTAAAAGGTGAAAAGAGGTACAGCAGGCAAATGGCATTCAAACAGCTGGAATCGCTATATTAATGTCAAAAAAAGTGGTTTTTAGACAAAACACCAAGCGTATGCAATTATTTCATAATGGTAAGTTTCCCTTCATCACAGAAAGATAATATTAAACACAAGCACCTAAAGTTGCATCAAAATATATAAAACATAGCTGAGTGTGGTGGTGCGCACCAGCTACTTGGGAGGCTGAGGCGGAAGGATCACTTGAGCCTGGGAGGCAGAGGTTGCAGCGAGTTGAGATCATGCCACTGCACTGCAGTCTAGACGACAGAGAAAGACCCTGTTTCAAATGTATATATGTGATCAAGTTATCATTATATTAGGAAATGTCACTACCCATCTCAGTAATTTTAGGCTGAGCGGACATACAACCCCCCACACACACACACATACACCTATCACACAGACTAGAAAATCTGAAAACACAATAAGCTAGATTTACTGATTATATATGGAACTGGCACCTAACAATCGAAGCATACAGTCTTTCTCAAATATACATGGAACAATTATATAATTTGAGTCAGTCTAAGTCATAGACGATCTTCAATGCATTTAAAATAATTAAAATAATTATTTTCATACAGGACATATTACTGTTCCACAGTGCAATTAATCTTGGGCAAGAACATAATGTTAATAAAAAATGTACTGTGTGTTTAAGCATTTAAAAGCGCATGAATCATGGCCAGGCACAGTGGCTCACCCCTGTAATTCCAGCACTTTAGGAGGTCGAAGTGGGTGGATCACTTTAGGCCAGGAGTTCAAGACCAGTCTGGCCAACATGGTGGAACCCATTTCTACTTCTAGAAAACTGCAAAACTTAGCCAGGTTTGGTGGCTAATTGGGATTATGTTTGTAACCCCGGCTACTGGGGAGGCTGAGGTGTGAGGATCAATTGAACCCAGGAGGCAGAGATTGCAGTGAGCTGAGATCGTGCCACTGCACTCCAGCCTGGGCAACAGAGAGACTCCAGCTCAAAAAAACAACCAAAAAACCAAAAACTCATGAATCGAATACCAAAACAATGGAAATGTATCAGCACGTTAGCATTGAATGCTAACACAACCACTACGCAATAAATACAATATGATTTTGTGATTATTTAGCCCGTAAGATAATGAAGGAAAAAGAAAAGATTTGGTAGAATTTGGACACCTCTTATGGACATGCCCTCGAAGTCTTGAGTAATGCTGGCTGAGTAGATTTTTATCATGCATTGACACCACCACGGGATGGTTTTTACTTCAAGACAGCGACAGCACCTCTAATTTCAGCATCTCTCACTTCATGTTATGGGGCTGAATTATGTCCCCCTAAAATTCATATGTGGAAGACCTAACTCCCAATATGTCAGAATGTAACTGTACTTAGAGAGAGGCCAATAAAAAGGTAACGAAGGTAAACTGAGGCTGTTACTATGGACCCTGGACCAGTCTGCCTGGTGTCCTTGTAAGAAGAAATTAGAACACAAACGACTCAGAGATCTAGAAGTGACCATGTGAGGACACAGTGAGAAGGAAGCCATCTGCACACCAAAAAGAGGGGCCTCCGAAGAAACCAACCTGTCAGCACCTCCATCTTGGACTTCCGTCTCCAGAAGTGTGAGAAAATCTGTTACTTAAGCCACCAGTCTGGGATTTAGTTATGCAGCCCCAGCAAACGACCACACTTCACATTCAAGAAAATTCATGTTTACTTACTGATATGGACTAAATGTCCCGTGCCCTCTTGCTCACAAATTCATATGTTGAAGCCCTAACCCACAGTATGACTGTATTTGGAGATAAGACGTTTGAGGAGGTGATTAAAATTAAATAGGACATAGGGTAGGGCACCAATCCCATAAGACCAGTGTCCTTACAACAAGAGGATGAGAAATCACATCGATCTCTCTATTCTCTCCTTTCTCTCTCTCTCTCTCTCTCTCTCTCTCTGTGTGTGTGTATGTGTGTGTGTCCCATGCATACAAAGAGGAAAGGTCCTGTGAGGATACAGTGAGAAGGTGACCATCTACAAGCCAGGAAGAAAGGCCTAACAAGAAACAAACTCTGCTGCCACCTTGACCATGAAGTCCCAGCCTCTAGAACGGTGAGAAAACAAATGTTTGTTGTTTAAGCTACCCGGTCTGCGGTATTTTGTGATGGAAGCCCAAGTAGACCAATATGCCTACTAAGTAAATACAAGTGCTAGATATCCAAGTGTCTTCCTTACGTCATCTCCTCGACAAATGAAATACTTCAATGTCCACGTTCTCGGAAAGAAAAGGAGTCAACAGTGCTTTAATGGATCCTGTTTAATCTTTACTTCCGTATATTCTTATTTCCATGAATGCGATTTCAAAAATGAAGTCATCTGATATCCTACTGCCAAGGCAGAATCTGGGAAAAGCAAGAAAGAGGCTTTGCTCTGCTAATTCGCTGTTTTCTGCTCATTTGCTCTAAAATGTAACATGAGACCCTGGAATTGCTGAGGCCCTTAACCTCTCCTTACTGCTTTGACTCTTTTTTTTTTCTTTTTTCAAGACGGAGTTTCGCTGTTGTTACCCAGGCTGGAGTGCAATGGCGCGATCTCGGCTCACCGAAACCTCCGCCTTCTGGGTTCAAGAAATTCTCCTGCCTCACCCTCCCGAGTAGCTGGGATTACAGGCACGCGCCACCATGCCCGGCTAATTTTTGTATTTTTAGTAGAGACGGGATTTCATCTCGTTGACCAGGATGGTCTCGATCTCTCAACCTCGTGATCCACCCGTCTCAGCCTCCCAAAGTGCTGGGATTATAGGCGTGAGCCACCGAGTTAGAATGATCTCAGCAGGACAGTTCCTGGAGTTCCCTTTCATGTTTCAGAACAAGACCAAGACCAAGAAAATAAAATGTCGATTCCTGATGCCCTGTGGCTCAGAGTTTAGACAATGCACTCTCATTACAGAAAATTGAGACCAAATCTGTTTTCTTGCATCTGCTCCATTGCCCTCTGTGACATTAATTCTCAACAGCAGATTCAACGTACTGGAACCAACCAATGTTAGAGTGTTTAAGAAGTCAGGTTAAACGGAGCTTGGGTCATTGTGCTTAGAACTATGGTTACCGAAACTGAAGTGCATATTTACTCTTCAATTGCTATCTCAGCTGTGAAACTGAGTTTTAGTTAGGGAGTAAAGAGTTTGTCTCCCTAGCTTCGTGTTAGAAAACAAAATAAAAAAAAAAATGGACAAAAACTCTTAAAAAATAGTCCAAACCTGCGATAGTATTTCTCAGCTATTCATGAAAATATACGACCTATTTTAGGCAGGTAAAACAGAGGCAAAATTAAATTGAGACATTTGAAATCATGGAATAATCCAACAACAAGCTTTTTTAAATTGATTCACAAATGACACATCAAGTTCCTAATTTTTGTAATGAACTGCTTTAGGCATGAGACAATGAAATAGTGTATAAAGTATTAGAAATAAATTCATATATGTAAAATTGTTTAAAAATTTTTGGAGGTATGGAAATGTAGCACTGTTGCATTAAATAACCTTTTCTATAATCTATATTTTAAATAATTTTTTTGTTTTAGAAAGAAACAGCTCTTACATGTTGGAAGTTTGCTAGTAACTAATATTTATAAGTATAGTCTAAAACCATATTATGTCACGATAATATGTAAAATCATATGTCATGATATCTTTACACAGAACTTTTGCTGTAATATTGTTTTCTTATTAAAAAATTTAAAACAGATGTCAGTTTCCATATACTGACATATACTATTTTGTGATAATTCCTCTTATTTTAAGATAGTGATCTTAACTATTATACAAGCAAATAATATATTGAACTATTGATCCAATTTATCAATTAATGCTAATACAGCACCTACTATGTATCAAGAGCTATGCTAGGCCATCAGTGAGGACAACTGTGGCTACAAAGGGTCACCCAGGATCAAACTGTCCTAAGGAAATTTATTATTTCCTATTGGAAGTCCAGAGGAGAAGGAAAGAGGGCACAGCGCTTTTGGTGGCTGTACCGACCCATGATTCTTTCTCTATCTGCCATCTTTAGCATCAGCTTCTTCATAATCTGCTTTCCCTCGTGGTTTCAAAAGGTGTCAGTAGCTCCAGGAATGTCATTTAGTTTACACAGTGTCCTGAAGCAGAAAAAAGACTTCTCTTCTCATGCGTGCTTCTTAAGAATGTGGAAATTTTTACCAGGGTCTTCTGGGAGATTCCTGTCCACCTCTCATCAGTCAGCACTTTGCCTCAGGCCCACTCCTGAGTGGAGGATGCCTTTTTTCCTCTTCTCCCTGTGTCTCCCTGGGACTGGTATAGACCCATCAGGACTCTCCGCTGGGGATGGAGGTTGAGGCTCTGTGCTCCTGTCTCATGGAGGAAGATTGGAAATCTGAATAGATTATTTATGTACTCATTTATAAGTACATAAATAAAACATCAAATAATAAATCATAATATAGCTTATCATTTGTAGACAATGCATGTTGTATGTATGGGATCAGAGGAGTAACAGCATGTAGGTAAACTGTCCAGAGAAAAAATTTTACAGAGGAAGCGAAACTTGAAAAAGAGTTGCATTTAGATAATTCTGGAATAAATAGAACCATTGCTTTTCTGCCTTTTCTTGAGGCTTTGAATCTTCTGGCTTGTTCAAGTACCATGCAATAGAGTGAATACTGACCCTCTCCTTTCGTTCTTGCAGTAAATCAGATCTGCTTTTAGTGTGAGCTGTTCCTGATGTCTTCAGCCCCAAGCTCCTTAGCTCATAAATCTCTATATTCATTGTTTATAATAAAGACTCCTCATAACTGCTGTACTGATAACCATTGGCTTCCCTTTCAAGAACTACTCGAACTACAGAATTGGATAACGTGTTGTTCTAACTCTCCTGACATTTCTCTTCTTTTTTATTTTCTGGCTTCAGCCCAGGTCTGAGGGATTTCCCTGCCCAAGTGATCATGGCTGAAATTCCCACCATGCTGGTCCCTGGTAGTAGAGTCAACTCTACCTCTCTGTTCTCCATCTCCACAGCTGACAAACAGGTATATTATTTTACCTTCCTCATGGAGTTTTTGTGAGAACTAATGAGTTAAGTCCTTATAAAATATTTAGAAAAGTATCTGGGAAATAAATATTTTATAAATAAAAATTAGCCACTATTAATATTATTGCTGTTATTTTTATTTTCCTACCAATCTAAAAAGCTTGGGTTTGATTGCAGAGATAATTACGAATATTTTAGTTAGGTAATTTATATAATAAAAGCGACAGTTTAGGTGTTGAATAGGTCAGCAGGTGAGAGACTATAGAGAGGAAATACAAGATACTGTAACATCTCAGGCTTGTCAAGAAAATAAATTAAGATTTGGTCTAGAATTTGTGATGAAAAGTACTGGGAAATGTACAAAGCATTTCAATGAAAAAAATTGACAGGATTTTAAAACCTTTTTTGATGTAATGGTGGTTTGAGGGAGAAGGTATGAGCTTGCACACCTGGAAGAATTGACAGAAACTGGCTTATAAAAATCCTATTGGTCGTATTTGGTAATTTTCCTGGCTACACTTCTTTCTTTTTTCAAAGAGACTGTAGTAAATTTATCAACTTTACATTGTCTTTGATTTAATGTTGAACTAAAATAAGGGTCCTTTGTGGACTGTATTCTAGGATTATATATAGTGAGAGTTCAATTTCCAGCAAAGAAAAGTAAATGTAGAAGTTTTTCAAAACTTTATTTCATCCCTCAACATTGTCGTCCTTGTAAAATCACGAGTGTGTTGAGTTTAAGCAAAATGTAAATAGCCCTGGAAATCAAATTAAAATATGTAAGACACTATTTCTGCCCTAAGACTTTTCCCTCTATGCAAAGCAGACAGAAAAGTCATATAATTTATGAGAATGCTGATTAAATTACCCTTCAGCAACCACCTTTCATAGTATTATTTTTCCTCCAAAGCCACGTGAGAACCACAGATAGAATGATTGTGCAAGAAAAGTTTTTCCTTAAGGACTTTAATAAAATAGAATTAAATAAAATTTGAGAATCAATACGATGATAGGAATCTGTGGACATGATTATTTTCGGGAAAAAACTTGCTGATTTCATATTCACGAATCTTTAAGTCAGACTTTGTACCCAGAGGGGTTGAAAATTTGGTCTCCATTTTGAGTTTGGGCACCAACTAATCATCTGTACATGTGCTTTTGTACTTGGTTAGATATAAGCAGATCACAGAAATTTGTTAGCGCATATTTGGTTTCATTCATTTCCTGTATTTTGAGAAAAGGGTGCCTTGGTTTGGTTGGATAACAGAAGAGAGAATGGCAAAAACAAGTGTATTTGATTTCCCTAAAATGATGCTCTGCTATTCTTGTGTCTCTGTGACCTAAAAGGTTCCTTTTCTGTCTTTTTCCTGCTGGTACGTGAGAAAATCTGGCAAAACTGGGAGCCAGAGAGGAGGCTAGGCCACAAAAAGCCTGTGTGCAAAATGATCTGTACACAGTGAATTGACTCCACCTTTCACACATTACCACTTAAATCATGAAAAGAGCATGGCAAGGAGGAAGTATTTTACCAGCAGAAAAAAACATGCCTCCAACATCAAGAAATTCCAGCACAATTTTGTGCAGCCAGGACCAGAAGAAGGTAAAGGCCAAGCAATATGTTTTAAGGACTGAATCTTATGTTTCCCCAAATTCATATGTTGAAATCCTAACTTCCACTGTGAAGATATTTGCCAGGGGCTTTAGGAGATAATTAGGTCAACAAGGCAGAGCCCCCCACCCCAGTGGGATTAGCGCTCTTAGAAAAGGGATCCAAGAGGGCTCTCTCTCTTGCCCTCTTTCCGCCATATGAGAATCCAGTGAGATGGCATCGTCTGCAAGTCAGGAAGAGGATGCTTACCAGAGACCAGATCTGCCAGCACCTTGATCTTGGACTTCTCAGCCTCTAGAACTGTAAGAAATAACGTTTGTTGTTTAAGCAACCCAGTCTATGGCAATTTCTTATAGCAGCCTGAACTAAGTCAAATAAGAAAAAAAATCCAAACCCAAAATGACTTTAAGCGACTCCCAGAGGAACCCTGCCACCATCACTAAGTTCTGAGAGATAAAATCAAGCAACAAGCAGAATTATTCTCGGGGGTCCATAAAAATGTCCAGGAGTGGTTTGAAAGCAACTGTCACAAAGGGGCACACAGTGGAGCCCAGAAAGTTCCACAGGCTTCTTAGGACTTGCAAAATTTCTATAATTTTATTGATGATATAAGTAATACATGTTAATTGTTGAGATTTTGGAAATTCTATCATCTGACCTCTCTGATAAAACCATTATTAACCTATTCGCTTTCTACTTCGTTATTTACACACATACACGTTTATCCATGTAGTGTTTTTTTAATCATGCTTTTGAGCTCCATTGTATTTACATCATGACCACTTTATAGTGACAAAAATGATTCCAAAATATGATTTTAGTGACAGCATAAACAGCTGTACCATAATATATTTAGCCATTTTCTATCATTGGATATTTATAGTATTTCTAATTTCCCTTCACTGTCATTATAGTTCATGTTTTTGAACGTAAGTCTATTTCCACATTTGGTTGTTTCCTTAACAATATTTTCGAAGCTATAGAGTTGGTGAAAAAAACATGTATTATGAAAGCTACCAAAAATAAAATTTCAAATTTCCCTTTTGATATGGATTCATTTACATTCTACTATTGGGCTCTGAGGGTAATCCTTTAACCACCCATAATAATCTTGATATATATATTCAAAATCTTTGCCAATTGACTAGACCGTTTTCTTATAGAAAAGTTCATTATTGATTATCCATTAAGTTGGACATGTTTTGCATTGCACTAGATTGGGACATTTGTTTTGCTGCTATGGTGAATTTCTGTTGCCTTTTTTTTCTTTTTAGCAATAAGGTCTCGCTATATTGCTCAGGCTGGTCTCAAACTCATGGCCTCAAGTGATCCTCCCACCTCAGCCTCCCAGGTAGCTCATTACAGATTACAGCTGTGAGTCACCATACTCAGTGAATTTCCAATATCTTGTGCCAATTTTTCCATTATAAGAAGAGGAGTAGGGAGGGCAGGGGTTCTTCTATTTTCCGTTACTATTTATCTCTGGTTCCTCCCTTGACCTCAGACCCCATGTTTAAGTTATCATCAAATCCTAATAACTCCACCTCAAAAATAAAAGATATCACCAGAATTGTCCCATTCTTCGTCATGCACGCTGATAAGCGCAGTCACAACCATCAACTTCCTTCCACACCAGCTCAACAACCTCCTCACCAGCCTCCTTGCCTCCATTCCTTCACCATGCAGTCCTCACAGATTGAGCTTTGAAAAATGAACATTATTCTTTTACTTAAACTTTCAAATGGTCTTTTAATCTCTTCTCATTTTTCTCCTTATCCACCATGACCACTGGTCTTCTTTCTGTCTCTTTCAAAAGTGCCAAACTCTATTCAGTCTCAACACTTTGGCGTTTGGTGTTTTCTCTACCCAGAAACTTTTCCAGATCATCTCATGAGACCTCCAAGAGAGGCTTTGAGCATCTGACCGAATCAGTCCTTCTCCAGCACAACCCAGTCTCCTCTGTGAAGCATGTTTCAAGTTAAAATTATATACGTGTAACTGTGGTTACTTCTGAAGGGAAAGATTGGGTGGAGAAGGGCAGAGGGAAACTTGAATTTTTACTCTAAAATTTTCTGTACAGTTTACAATCTTATACAATTCTTTTTATGATAAAGCAAATGAAACTCCTCAAAAAAATTATATACGTGTGTGTGTGTATGTGTGTGTTTGTGTGTGTGTGTGTGTGTGTGTGTGGCATTTGTGTTTATTTCTGTGTTTATGGGCTCTCTTCTCTTTAGCATATAAACACTACAAAGGTAAAAACTGTATATTTTATTTATTTATTTAGAGCGAGAATGTCCCTCTGTTGCCCAGGCTGGAGTGCAGTGGTACAATATCGGCTCACTATGATCTCCACCTCCTGGGTTCAAGTGATTCTCCTGCCTCAGACTCCCAAATAGCTGAAACTACAGGCATGTGCCACCATACCTGGCTAGTTTTTTTTGTATTTTTGGTCAAGACGGGGTTTCACCATATTGGCCAGGCTGGTCTCAAACTCCTGACCTCATGATCTACCCACCCCCAACGGCCTCCCAAAGTGCTGGGATTACAGGCGTGAGCCACCAAGCCCAGCCAACTGTATATTTTATGTTCTGGGGCACATAAGGCAGTTCTTGACACATAATGCACATTCAATAGCTGTTAAATAAATGGCTGAACAAATATCTGTAAAGGTTATAGTGTAACATTTGCCTCACACTAAACGTTCAGTAAATGGCACCTATTATTACTGCTGCCATTCTGTAAGATATTATTTATCCTTTATTGGAAAGAGATTGGAGTCTTCCTTTTTGTCACCTTCATCTTTCTTATGCCCTATCTTTCTGCCCCCATCAGGCCTTTTATGCAAATAAGGAAAAAATCCTAGCAAAAATAGTATCTTGGGGTGTATTGAAATAAAAAGCTTATGCTGGATGCAATCCATTCTGCAACCAGGAACGCTAATCTTTAATTGGAATGAAATTTGTGAGTCGCAAATGGCCTATAGTGGCATTGCTTGACTCATTTGTTTTGGGCTGACCAAATGACAACATGGCTTATTGCACCTGCAACAAGCTGACGGATTGTCCCTGCCTTCATATGGGTTTTGGACTTTTATTTTACAGATTACACAGAAAATATAATTTTAGCATCAATTATTCTTGGTACCTTGGAATAGCCTTATGGTAAACACATATTCACTAATGTAAATGATACATTAGGGTGTGTTTGAATTCTTAATAAAGACAGACTGCAAATAAAATTTTGAGCAAAAGGAATTATGTTAACAAATGAGCAGAGCTTCAATAACAGCAGGCTTTTGGGTTTTGTGTTTGCAAAATCTAACAGCCAGGGATTTGGTATCCTCTTCTGCCTTTACCTTTTTGGTAGTATTACACTGTGTGTGTGTATTGGTACTATAGAGTGCTACGGGTACCTTTTGTCCTGAGAAGGATGCAGATGTTTCCAGGCTGGTGGATAGCAGGGGTGTGACTAGAAGCAGAGCGTATACTGGTGATTCTAAAGAAGGCAACAGAACACGTGTGAGGAAAAGGTAAAGGCACCCTGTAATGTGACAACTAACTCCATGGAAGTACTAGCTACTAGAAACCCCACTGGGCAGTGTTTTGTAACCCTCTGTGATCATAGAACTTCGTTCTCTTTTTAACAGAAATGCACATGTGCACCTAAAGCAATTATCTGAATGAAATTTTAGGAGATTCATGGGCATATATACTGTATCCGTGAACACTTCAAGATAGGACGTTTCTTATACTTTAGTAAACATAAGTGGCTTCAGAAAGCAAAACATACGACTTCTTGTGAGCTTTCAGATAATGAAAGACAGAATTGAATTGACCTTGGGAAGGAAAAAATAATCTATTTCCTATGTAGTAACTTGAATTTTCAATAGTAAAATTACATTGAATTTTACTACCTACCCCAGTCTTTCAGGGTTTTCAAAACAGCAAAAGACAGATCCAGTGATTTTTCAAGATCACTGGAAAAAAAAAAAGCGGTGTTGGAAAAAATTATCCAACACTTAGAAATAAAGGACAAATGCATGTCCTTTTGATGTTTGACATTATGTGGGGGCATTGTTTTACAGTCCTTTCCCTAAGGATTATTTCACTAGTAGCAGAATACACCTGAGTTTGACTGATTATTTCCACTTGATTAAAACCCACACACTGTGAAGTTACATGTTATTTTGTAGATTTCTGCCTGGTAAAAAGATAATTCTGTTATTTTATCATCCTGTGAGATACTATATAGTTTTATATCTGTTAGCAAATTCATTTCAGCATTTTTGAACTAACTCTGTTGTTAAGGTTTAGGTATTTGTATTCCCACCCAAAGTCTCACCTTGAATTAGAATCTCTATAATCCCCACATGTCAAGGGAGAGACCAGGTGGAGGTAATTGAATCATGGGCGTGGTTTCCTCCATGCTGTTCTCCTAATAACCAGTGAGTTCTCAGGAGGGCTGATGGTATTATAAGCATTTGGTAGTTTCTCCTTCATTCATTGTCCTTCTGGCTGCCTTGTGAAGAGGGTGCCTGCTTCTCCTTCACTTCCCACCATGATTGTAAGTTTCCTGAGGCCACCCCAGCCATGCTGAACTGTGAGTCAATTAAACCTCTTTTCTTTATAGATTACACAGTCTTGGGCAGTTCTTCATAGCAGTGTGAGAACAGACTAATACATCCATCAATCTTCATTCCTTGAACTGTTCTTTGGATCAGTTTTGCCATCCTACTGGTCCTTTATTAATTAATGAGTTGAATAAAATACTTGACATATGCTTAATCTTTATTAGCCATGTCATGTTTTTAAGTTTTTTTTTTAAACATATATATTTTATTGCACTTTAGGTTCTGGGGTACATGTGCAGAACATGCAGGATTGTTGCATTGGTACATACATGGCAATGTGGTTTGCTGCCTCCATCCCCCCATCACCTTTATCTGGCATTTCTCCCCAACCTCCCTACCCTCCACTGTCTCTCCCCTATTCCCCCTCAACAGACCCCAGTGTGTGATGCTTCCCTCCCTGTGTCCATGTGCTCTCATTGTTCAACACACCCCTATGAGTGAGAACATGTGGTGTTTGATTTTCTGTTCTTGTGTCAGTTTGCTGAGAATGATGGTATCCAGATTCATCCATGTCCCTGCAAAGGACACGAACTCATCATTTTTTATGGCTGCATAGTATTTCATGGTGTAGATGTGCCACATTTTCCTTGTCCAGTCTGTCATCAGTGGGCATTTGGGTTGGTTTCAGGTCTTTGCTATTGTAAACAGTGCCACATATGTCTCTATAACAGAACTATTTATAATCCTTTGGGTATATACCCAGTAATGGGATTGCTGGGTCAAATGGAATCTCTATTTCTAGGTCCTTGAGGAATCGCCACACTGTCTTCCACAATGGTTGAACTAATTTACACTCCCGCCAACAGTGTAAAAGCATTCCTATTTCTCCACATCCTCTCCAGCATGTGTTGTCTCCAGATTTTTTTTTTTTTTTTTTTTTTGAGATGGAGTTTCTCTCTTGTTACCCAGGCTGGAGCACAATGGCTGGATCTCAACTCACTGCAAGCTCTGCCTCCCAGGTTCAAGCAATTCTCCTGCCTCAGCTTCCTGAGTAGCCAGGACTACAGGTGTGCGCCACCATGCCCAGCTAATTTTTGTATTTTTAGTAGAAACGGGGTTTCACCATGTTGACCAGGATGGTCTCGATCTCTTGCTCGTGATCCACCAGCCTCGGCCTCCCAGCCTGCTGTGATTATAGACGTGAGCTACCACGCCCAGCCTAGATTTATTTTTTTTTTTTTTTGAGACGAAGTTTCACTCTTGTTGCCCAGGCTGGAGTGCAATGGCGCCATCTCGGCTCACCGCAACCTCCGCCTCCTGGGTTCAGGCAATTCTCCTGCCTCAGCCTCCTGAGTAGCTGGGATCACAGGCATGAGCCACCATGCCCAGCTAATTTTTTGTATTTTTAGTAGAGACGGGGTTTCACCATGTTGACCAGGATGGTCTCGATTTCTTGACCTCATGATCCACCTGCCTCAGCCTCCCAAAGTGCTAGGATTACAGGCATGAGCCACCACGCCTGGCCTGGCCTAGATTTTTTAATAATTGCGATGTTAACTTTTTGAACATTGTTATTTGACAGTGGCAGTGGCATTGCATTATAATAGTTTTCAGAATGCATTGCTGTCTGAAAGGCACAGGCCACAAATCTCAGGCATAGGAGACCCTTCCTTATCAGAAGGGCTCTCAACATGATCCTTAACATTGATAGAGATAGCTGTGTGGGAGCAGATACAAGCTCACTTTCTAAGCCTGAGCTTCCAGTAAGAGATTGATGAGCCAGCGTAAGAGAGAGATGGGAACACCTTGAAAGGATAGGGGATAGCTAACAGGACAGAATCCAAATTCAGAAAGGTCTTGGAAAACTGAAGCGTTGGATTGAAATAAACCACACGTAGCATAAGAAAGAAAAACTATGTGTGAGCATTCATAGTTGCAATATTTGAATACTTCGACTTCATATTCCCACATAAGGAAATCCATCTCAAGTTCACAATAAAAAATACGGAGAGTTTTGCACAAAAATGTTAATTGCCATGTTGTTAAGAATAATAAAAAATTGGAAGCAATCAAAATGTCAACAGTATGGGAATGACTAAGTCGCTTCTAGTGCATCTTATTCATAGACTTTTCACTTGCACATTAAAATGAGTGTTTATAATGAAATATAGCACTTAATAGAAAAGTGCACACCACATAAATGTGCCAGCTTATTGAATTATGATAAAATCAACAGCCAGATTACCATCATTCACACCAAAAAATATAGCATCATTACATTAGTTCCCTTCGTGTGCTTCTTCCAAACCAAAAGCCTCTTCTTAACCCCTAAAGTGATCATTATCTTGGGTTTAGTGGTAATCCATTTTTTAAAAAAAGTTTGTTATAATTTTACCACCTATGTATTTCTGCACTGTAGCTTTGTCTTTTAAACTTTATATAAACGGAATTGTTATGTTTGTCTTCTTTTTACTCTGCATGATTTAAACTGTATGTTTAACATTTGAAAAAATGTCAAACTATTTTTTCAAAATGACAGCACCATTTTACATTCCCCTTAGCAATGTGTTATGGTTCCAGTATCTCCACATTCTTGCCAACATCTGTTATTATCCATCTTTTTCACTATAGTCATGGTGGCAGGTGTGAAGTGGTATCTGAAGATTGTTTTTGATTTTCATATTTCTAATAATTAGTGATGTGGAGCATATTTCATGTGCTTGTTTGCCATTTGTATATCTTCTTCAGAGAAAATGTTTATTTAAATCCTTTGTCTACTTTTAAAATGGGTTGCTTGTCTTTTTATTGTTGGGCTGTAAGAGTTCTTTATATATTCTAAATACTAGTCCTTCATATATGATTTACAAATATTGAAATTTTCTCCACTGGGTTGTCTTGGCATTTTTGTCAAAAATTGATCTACCATAAATATTAGGGTATATTTTTGTATCTCAATTCTATTCCACTGATCCATATATTTATTTTAATGCCACTGGCACGGTTTCATTTATTGTACCTTTGTAGTAAGTTTTGAAATATGAAAGTATGAGTTTTATAAATTTGTTCTTTTAAGATTGTTTTGGCTCTTCTGTGTCCCTTGAATTTTCATATGAGTTTTATATTAAGCTTGTCAATTTTGGGGGAAGCAAAGGCAGCTGGCAACCTGATAGAAATTGCATCAGATCTATAGATCAATCTGTGGAGTTTTACCATCTTAACAATATTGTCTTTGAATCCATAAAAATGAGATAAATCCCATTTGGATAAACCCTTTTATATGTTGCTAGATTCAATTTGCTAGTATATTGTTATAGAAGATTTTTTGCATTGGTATACATAAGGGCATTTCTCTATAATTTTCCTTCTTGTGATATGTGTCTAGGGTAATACTGGCCTCAGAAAATGAGAAGTGTTCCTTTTTATTCTATTTATTTGGAAGAGTTTGAGAAGGATTGCTGTTCATTCCTCTTTAACTCTTGTTAGCAATCACTGAACAAGCATCTGGCCTTTTCTTTATGGGGGTTTTCTTTTTTTTCTTTAAGCAATATTGTTGTCATGGCACTTTGCGGGAATTTTTCATGTTAGTAATTCAACCTCTTTGCTCATAATAAGTTTATTCACATTTTTTATTTATTCTCGAGTCAGTGTTGGGAGTTTTATTTTTCTGGAAATGTGTCAATTTCTTCTAAAAAATCTAATTTGTTGTTAATGTAATTGTTCATAGTATTTTTATAATGCTTTTTGTTTCTGTAAGATATGTAGTAATGTCCTCTTTTTTCCTGATTTTAGTATTTTGAGTCTTCTTTCTTTTATTCTGCATCACTGTAGCTACAGGATAGTCAGTTTTCCCAGTCTTTTCAAAAAACAAATTTTGGTTTTATTGATTTGCTCTATTGTTTTTCTATTTTTTTATTTTATTTACATCTATCAGAATGTTTATCATTTCCTTTCTTCTTCTAAGTATTTAGGGTTCATTTATATGTAATTTAATTACTGATAAGGTATGATTTAGGTCTTCCATTTTTCTGTTTTCTATATTTCTTTCGAGATTTTTCTTTTTGTTGTTGCTTTTTCTGTGCCTCTATTCTGTTACTGCCTTCTTTTGTGCTGAGTAGAGATTTTCTAGTGTCCCATTTTAATTCACTTCTTTTACCATATATTGTTTTGAGGTTTTTTTTTTGGTAGTTGCCCGGAGGAATTATAATTAATTTCTTAACTTGTAATAATCTAGTTTAGATTAATACCAAATGAATTTTAGTAGTATATAAAACTTTGCTTCTACACAGCTCTATTCTCTCCCTCTCTATTATGCTATTATTGTCATAAAACTACATTTTAATATATTGTATGCCCATCAACACAAATTTATTATTTATTTATGCAGTTATCATTCAAGTTAGGGAGAAGAAAAAAGAAGTGCTACAACAAAAAATATATTTGAGCAATATATTATATTTACCTATGTAGTTACCTCTGCTGATGCTATTTATTGCTTCATAGTATTCCCTTATAATTTTTAAGTTACTGCCCAGTAGTGTCCTTTCATTTTTTCCAGAAGAGCCTCCTTTAGTGTTTCTTGTAAGGAAGCTTTGCTAATGACCAGTTGTGTCAGCTTTTGTCTATCTAGGAATGTCTTAATTTCTTGTAAACTTTTATAGATTCGTTTTGCTGGATATAACATTTCTGACTGCTAGAATTTTTTCTTTCTTTCAGCACTTTTAAAGATATTAACTCACTGCTTTCCAGCCTCTATGATTGCTAATGAGAAACTGGCTGTTAATCATATTGAGAATAACTTAT